TCCAACCGCGGCGGACCGGGTTCGATCCCGTGTCTGGTCAAGTGGGATTTGTGGTGGACAAAGTGGCGCTGGGGCAGGTATTCTTCGAGCACTTAGGTTTTCCCTGCCAATCTTCATTCCACCAAATTCTCCATCATCATAATCACCCGGGGCAGGTAGAATAGTGGTAGAATCAGTGGCCGCCGTGCCGGGTGGACCCAGCTGAATTCCACCCCCCACTAAGCGAATTAAAAAACTGACTGACTGACTGACTCCATGGAGGTGACTCCTTGAGAAGCCGCCAGTCGGTTAGTTATTCAAGAATTTCCCAACATTTTATGGAATCCGAAGATTAGTTGTCGTGTTCACTACAGCCTGCCACTGGACTCTATACTGAGTCAGATTAACCGTCCCACCTTGTTAAGGTCTTCCTATTTGTCTCTTCCCTTATGTCTTTCCTACAAGGATCCTATACATATATATCTTCTCTACCTGGGTGCTACATGCCCTGACTGTCACAGCTTCCCTCATTTTATAAATCTCCACAGTTGCCAGTAAAAATATAAGTTGTAATAAAGCATTAAATTATGTGGTTGGGAGTCACTATCACCGAACAAAGGGATTTGAATTAATGTACTGTAGCGTGGACAGCCGTTGCTGTGCAATAGGCGAAGAAACAACGGTGTTGTGCAACCCATTTCTAGGCAACGGATCGGTAAAGACGTTCCCACGACAGTGAATTCGAACATAATATTTATTTCTTTCTATTGCTAGTGGGGTGGGACTAAGTCCCTTGTACTGCGGCCACTTCTGGCTTATTGTACCAGCCCCAGATGATAGGTGAGGGTGAATGTGGAGCAATTGGTGGAATGAAGATTGGCAGGGGAAACCGAAGTACTCGGAGAAAACCTGCTCCAGTGCCACTTTGTTCATCACAAACCCTACTTGACCAGACCCGGGATCGAAACCGGGCCGCCGCGGTGGGAAACCAGCGACTAACCGCTTGAGCTATGGCGCGGCCAAACATAACGTTTAAGTGACTGTTGAAAACGGTGTCTTCCACTCGGTCTATGTAAAAGAGTTATTCTAGAAGACAACTGAGGCACCCAATTATTTGTCAGTTGAGAGTTCAGTTATGCATGGGAAGCTGTGAAAAGAGAACCTGAGTGCGGGAAGCTGAAGAATCTCCACTATTAAAGCCATTGCCAGGAAACGGCTGATAGAGACATACCAGGTTGGAAAAAGGATTTAGCGGATGCTGTGGTTATCTGTAAATTGTGGAGATCAGCAATGGCACTGTAACTACTTGTAGTTCCGAATGGTGTAAGTGGTCAATAAATCCACTCACCAATACATACCCCGTCTGTAGTCACACACATAGACGTGATTGTACTACGAGATATCTGGACAAGTTTAACTCCTAACATGATCCTTTTTGTATAATGTGAAACAACAATATGGCCGCCGCCCGAAAATTTCATTTAGCTTTCATGTTGACAGCGATAACTGACCAATGGGACTAGGATTAAACTTAGGAAATTCTATATCAGGCAAGTATAGACGTTATAATCAATTACCTTAGAACAAACAAAAAACAAACAAACTCCGTGGTTTTAATCCGTACACGAACTATACCGACCGAGCGACCGCCGCTTGTCAGCGAAGTTAGTGCCAACTTTAGCGGATAGAGGGTGTCGCATGGTCAGCGCAACGAATATACAGCCGTTAATTTCGGTTTTCTAGACCGGAGCCGCTTTTCCTTGAAATAGCTCCTCAATTATCGTCGCGAGGCTTGAGATGACCCCGTTCCTGACCCACTACTTCTCAGAAAATCTGGTAACGCCGGGAATCGAACCCGGACCTCTGAATCTGTAGCCAGGAACTGTGACCATTAACCCACAGACTAGACCACCTTAGAACACGGTTTATAAACCAACACAGATGGTGCTGATATCAATTTCTGAGATCATTCATAACATGTAAAGTACTAAGCGGTCATAATCTGTACGGTTTCCCCAAAGGTAAGGAAGCCTGAGGACATGGTCCGTCCCCATGATTACGGTCAATGTGGGCAGAGCCGCTGAAGTACAGATGTATCAGTCTGTGTGCGATGTCCCCTCCGTATTGGCGACAGAGAAGACGAGACAGATTTGAGTGGTCCCGATTTCCTGGTTCCGGGGAGATTTTACAAGACCACTCTCCGGACTTAGCAACAGAATACGTGTACATCCACGCCACCAACAGAAGGAAGACTGCAATGAGCCTCTGAAGTACAGCTATATCAGTCTGAGTGCGATGTCCCCTCCGTATTGGCGTGCTGGGCGACAGAGAAGGCGAGACAGATTTGAGTGGTCCCGATTTCCTGGTTCCGGGGAGATTTTACAAGACCACTCTCCGGACTTAGCAACAGAATACGTGTACATCCACGCCACCAACAGAAGGAAGACTGCAATGACTTAATCAGAGGATAAGGTCTTATCGACGTTGTAAAACCATTTGGAAACAAGGGATCTCGGTGGAAGTACGAGTAAATTTGTCTTTGTACTTAATTAAATAGCACTGCGCCATAAATACATATGGGGGAGTAGATGTACAGATCTACGAATTCTTAACCTCGGTACTAGTTGGAGGTGAGTGGTCACTTTCATGCTCCTGTCGATTTACTCCTGGGGAAAGATCCCCGATACACTCTGGGGCTGAGTGGGCCTCAGAGCGCGTCTGGACGCTGTGGAGAAAAGAAAGTCTTTTCCAGGAATTGAAATTCGATTCCTCGGTAGTGCAGCACGTAGGCAATCGCTATACCGACTGAGCCATCCGTATAGAAAAGGCTCCAGGTACAGCTGTTAATATTGGATTAATTAATGAAATTAATTTATCTTTATCATAAATTTTAAAATTTAGAGCAAAATTGAAAAGCTTTTAAAATTAGAACTTAAGATTTTGTAAGTGCTAATTCAGAGAAATCAAAACTGACGTGTGTAAATAACAAAGACATCAACGAAGTAGATTTTGGTAATAATGACAAAAGGAACAATCAGGAAGACCTGTGTTTTTAAATTTTAAATGTTAAACTAAGTACAGTGTGACAGATACGTGAGTAATACACCTGATGATGGCCGTTTATGGCCGAAACATGTGGTGTGTAAAGGAGAGCAAAACGAAAGACCTATAATCTATCGTTTGCACTGAAGACGGAGTCTGTATCACGTAGCGTATGGAGTGCAACAGGATGCTTAAATATAATATTGTAAGCTTGTTAGAACGTTTACACTTATTTATTTGCGATATATTAAGTAACGCATGTTGCTTTAAAATAAAACTCCATAATCACGAACACTGAACATTTTCTGTCAATATTAAACTCCGAGGGCATAAGCAATGCATTTGATACGTTACACATTTTGTCTTCTAATGGTCTGTGGTTTCTAACACGGATCCACCTCCTCGCCTCTACGGGGTGCAGCAACAGGACCCTTTAATTGCGTATTCTTCTTGTCGGCTCTCTGCCCGTCTGTCCATTAAACGCGGCAAAGGAACGGTGGAACAAACGTAATATCATTACACATGTTACTGAGCTCTGCACTGGAAGAAGGTACGGAGAAAAAGAAGACAGAGAGAGAAGCCACTAGTTTTAAAATAAATTAGTAAAAAAAAAGAGATAAAATTGTCCCTGTGCTTATCTAATTAAGCACTACGCCATTAAGATATATGGGAGGGTGAATGTATAGATCCATCTTTTCTTGGCCTCAGCACTAGTTGGAGGTGATTGGTCAGCTTCACGTCCCGGTCGTTTTAACTCTGGAAAAGAGCCCCTGATACCCATTGCGTAGGAGGTTGGGTGGACCCTAGAGTCGGTCTAGACGATTTGAGAAGTGAAAATTCTTGAGCCTACCGGGACTCTCTGTCCTACCTATTGGTCGTCCAATGAAGCTCATAGGGCTGTGAGATGTCGAGGCTCCCACATTTTCTAGACAATCGACTCACAGATGGCGGTAAGGTTGTCAACCTTACGCGCCGGCCTCCATTTACCCGCAGGATGATTGCTGGTACTCATTTCTGTTAGAGGCTGAGTCGACCTCAGGGCCATAATGCTGCTGGAAGGATTAGGTAAATTGAAAATATCCACCTCATCGGGACTAGAACCCGCGACCTTCCGGCTTGTAACATAGAGCCCCTGTTCAGCCCATAGCCAGTAGCTATACCGACTACGCTATCCCGGTTCCTAAAATAAATTAATATCTTGTCTAATTATGGTAAGATCTTACTTTGTATTTTGGGGGCCGATATCAATTCTCGGTCCATATACTGAAAATATTTCGTCAGATAACTTGTTACTGATTTATCCCGAACTGCGGAAAAACTTCACAGTTGACATTACATGTCATGAATTTTGCAGCTATAGCCTTGGCCTGCAGTTCAATGTCTTGTTTCCCAGGTAGTGTATCTGTGTAGTCATGTATACGGATACCGACGTTTCGGAAGGAACATGCTGTCTTAATCTACAAGATTCATCCTCTTCAACACTTCAACCACTGTGAAAATCTCAAAATGCATATCCCTGCAATTGTTATCACTTCGAATTGAGTATTAGGTCAGCGGTGCCGTTCGTTCATTCATTCATTATTGGAGGGGGTGGGTTTCCCCATGCACCGCGACCAGTTGTTGATCTATTGTACATCCCCCTTTGATAGTCTACCAGTCACCATACCCTTCCGGTACTGGTGCCCGCTATCAGCTCCGTTCAGCCAGCGAGTTCGGCCCCTCTACTGGCAGTGGTACCCGATACTTCCCCATCTACCGGAGGCATTGGAAACTACTTGGGCGGAAAACTTTTTATCTAATTTTGCTCAGAGGTCTCCTAGAGACATGAGGATCTTTTACGTGCCGTAAATCTACGACACGGGACCCACGGCTTGAAGTCCCTCCCGGAGGACTTGTTCCCTGAATATTTCCGCCCTTAAAAATTCCACGACCTCCGTCGTTCCCAGGTGAGAAGTGCTGTGATATGTACGAACACTTACCGAAGTTCGGGAGATTATATCGGAATCTCCCTAGAGGAAAGCCGGCCAACGCACCTCCCGTCTCCTTGCAGGCGGCAGTTGCTTCCTTCCAGCTCAAATTCACAGCAGCATTCTGACTGTAGCAGTGTCCCCTCAGGCCGACTGTTTCCGAGGGACACCATTCTGTAACAACACGGAAGCAATCAGATCAGAAGCCATTTACATTTCCTCGAGTTCATCTCACAGTAAATCCTAAATCGCGGGGCGGGGTTGTTAATTTCTGCAGTTTTTACACATAATGCATATCAGACTGACCCCTTCTGTGATCTAGTGGTCAGAGTTCCTGGTTACAGATTCAGAGGTCGCGGGTTCGATCCCGGAGCTAACAGATTTTCTGAGAAGTAGTGGGTCTGGAACGGTGTCCAGTCAGCCTCGTGAGGATAACTGAGGAGCTATTTCAAGGAATTAGAGGATCCGGTCTAGAAAACCGAGAATAACGGCCGTGGGAATCCGTTGCGCTGACCGCGCGACACCATCTATCGGCAAAAGTTAGCACTTACTTCGCCGCCGGCAAGCGGCGGGTGCTCGGTCGGTATAGTTCGCTTGCGGACTCGAGGTACGGAGTTGTTTATATGCATATCAGACGAGACCCGTAAAAGTACCGTTTATTTCGGGTTCTTGCAAGCATGCGTGGTATCCATATTGGTACTAAAAGTGTTGGAAATAAAATTCTTAGGTCTATCCCACAACCATAACAACTTTCATGTTCCTACCAGAAATGTTTCACTAGATTCGGTCACGAAGATTTTAAAGGAAAGTGAACATCTGAGGCAGTATTATGGATGCGAGTATTTTCGGTACATACAAAAATTGCCTAAGTACTTCTTATCCTATCAAAATTGTGAAGAGCTAAAGTTGTTTTGTGTTTATATTCATCAAAAATTAACACTCCGTGGTTTTAGTCCGCAAGCGAACTATACCGACCGAGGGACCGCCGCTTGTCTACGAGGTTAGTGCCAACTTTAGCAGATAGAGGGTGTGGCGTGGTCAGCACTAAGAAATCCCACGGCCGTTAATTTCGGTTTTCTAGACCGGAGCCGGTTTTTCCTAGAAATAGCTTCTCAATTATCCTCACGAGGCTGAGGGGACCCCGTTCCAGACCCACTACCTGTCAGAAAATTTGGTAGCTCCGTGAATCGAACTCGGGACCTCGGGCTCTATAGCCAGGAACTCTGACCACTAGACCACAGAGGCGGTCTTTGTTTTAATAATCGTTGGGGAAATTTCAATTTATTCTCTTTCCATTTAACTGAACCAATTTCTCTTCGTGTCTGACATAACTTATGTTAACTTATAATAATGCACACCAGTAAGATGCAGAATTACTTGATTTTTGGACATTTTCCGTCATCCGGTATTCTAGAGAACAGAAAACACACCGTTTTGGAAATTGAATCTGTTTCCATCCTCAGGTGAAGGGGGAAGAAGTTACCTACGAAGTTGGACCCCCTTCTTCACCTGAGGACGGAAACAGATTCAATTTCCGAAACGTCGTGTAACGTCCAGTAATTCTGTGTGTTATACACCATCGCCGGAAGTCTTTAGAATCTACATACACCAGTAAGGCTTATTAAGATTTCATTTTTATTTCTACAGTTGCATTTCGGCGCTACGGACCATAATCAGTGCTCACCCATAATATCCAGGATCACTCGTCGTCCTCAACAGTTCATACACAGTCACTCCAACAGCTTACGTAGCATCTAGTTTCTGTGCACATTCTAGGCCTAATCTGACATCAGGCAGCTAAAATCTTTAACTGATACAAAAAGCCATTTCACAGTTATAGTTTATAAGCTTGAACTCTGCTTCACCACTCTTCTATAAATCACTGTTATGATAATTATATTTCGAGATTTTGTTAGAATCTATAAAGATCTTGAAATGTTATTCCATGAATTTGTTTTAATCGTATATCATTTCCGTTTGTCCCCCCCCCCAAATACTATCACATTGCTTCTTGCTCACCTAATATTCTGCTGACTAAAATTTTATTAAAACTTCTTTTAAGCTCACTCAATATTTCTCAAAACAGAGCGTTTCCCTGTTGACCATTTTGACCTCTGTATCTCACACGTTGTGCTGCTGTCTGCTTGCTTTCGTAACTACCTCAGGTGATAGGTTGTCTGGTGGATATCTGTTGCCAACTTTGAAGCGTTGTAACTTCTTCGACGCTAATTAAAATAATACTTCATTTTGATTTGAAGTTTCCAAGGAAATGAAAACTTATGCTACCGTCTTCTGAGTTGTGAAACTGTGTAGTCTTGTAGGTGTTAACAATCATCGCTTACCAAGCTTCTTCGTGTAATAACACAGAAGACCATGACTTAAGGGGGGAACGCGGCAGGGTAATTTGTTGCTACAAGCCGGAAGGTCGCGGGTTCTATTCCCGATAAGGTCATTGGACTTTTCAATTGACTTATTCCTTCCAACCGCACTATGGCCCTGAAGTTGGGGCACCATAGCTCAAGCGGTTAGTCGCTGGCTTCCCACTGCTGCGGCCCGGGTTCGATCCCGGATCTGGCCAAGTGAGATTTGTGGTGGACAAAGTGGCGCTGGGGTGGGTTTTCTCCGAGTATTTTGGTTTTCCTTGCCAATCTTCATTCCACCAAATTCTTCATCATCATAATTACCCGGGGCAGGCTACAATAGGCCAATCAGTGGCCGCCGTGCCGAGTGGACCCAGTTGGACTCCACCCCCTACGAAGTGAATTAAAAATCTGTCCCTAGGGTCGATTCGGCCTCTAACAAAAATGAGTACCACGATTCTTCCTGGGGATAAAGGGCGGCCGGCTCCTAAGGCTGACTACCTCACTGCTATCTATGAGCCGATTGTCTAGAAAATGTGGGAGTCCCGATGTCTTACAACCCTACTGGTCTCCACGACCTGTTACAGGGGTAGCTTTGCCTTTTTACCACGATTTAATGAGCCATACCGTACTTCGGTTTATTCCTTCTTTATTGGTAGCTAGTTCTTTGTTGTACTTATGGGGCCAATATGTAATTTTGTTCCTATACCTTTCTTTGATGCGTTCGATAAAAATGACACGACAAACCTCAGAAGATCGGTTAACCTCTCATTTCTTTCTGATATGAGATTTATAAAATATCGGATAGCATGGAATGAAATCCAATTCTTAGCGACATAAGCATCAGTGTATATGTTGTTACGGGCTTCATACGGGTTCAAAGCCAGTTATATGTAGGTGTGCAGAACATGTACAAATGTAATATGAGATTAAAAAGAAACATTGCCGCCACCTAAGCTTAAAGGTTTGTGGGCATGATTTTGAAAACATTTTTATTTTTGTCATCTTATATTTCGAGAACTGTTGGTTTGATTCTGATGAAACTTTATATTGGATGTCCCTAAACAAATTTATCGAAGAAAGCAAATATCAAAAGAAGCGGTGAAATATAAGTCGTTTCTTATAAGGGAAATTGAAAACAGATGCGGACGAGCAAAAATCGTTACGTCATGCATACGTTTCCCTATTCCTCATTTTGTTTTTGAAAGGAAATTAAGATATCCTCACAATCCAGCAGAAAGAAAGTAGTAAGCTTTCACTTTGTTCGATAGCGGAATACAACCCAAAGGTTTATTACCCTATTCACAAGAGTACTCCACTGGTCCTATCCTGAGACAGATCAATCCAATTCATAGCAAACCATCTTATCGATGATTCATTTTAATATTATCCACCAACAAAAAAAATCATCCATGTCTGATGCCCTTTGTAACATTTCATAAAAGAGAAAAACTTATTTCTATGGTGATGATTTGTTAACTCCAGGCTCAACCACATATCTGGAGGACTACCGCTTCTCGGCTGTCGGAGACTGCTTATTGAATATATTCGCAGCTACTCCCCCTGTCTGGAGGCCATCTTCATTTGCGACCTGAGGACATGCCATGTAGTGGTGAAAAGGGAACCTCTTAACATGACAAGAATGGTTGACCTATTCATTGTACGTGTACATTTATTCAAATTAAAAATTGACGTAATTTTTAAAACTATTAAGGCTTCCTTAAAGAGAGAAATGGGGAACTCGGTAGTGTAGTTGGTTGCGGCACTACACTACAAGCTGGAGAGTCGCCGGTTCGAGTCCCGATGAGGTGGATATTTTCAATTTACCTAAACCTTCCAGCCGTACTATGTTACAGGGGTCGACTCAGGCTCTAACAGAGGGGGGGGGTAAGGGGGCGGCCGGCGCGTAAGGCTGACAAACTTACTGCCATCTGTGAGCTGACTGTCTAGAGAAAATATGGGAGCCTCGACGTTTCACAACGCTATGGGCCTTCACGGTCTCATACACGGATAGCTTACCTTTTTAGAGGGAGAAATAATTATCATAAACTGTTGTTAACATACATCACTCTCTATAACGGATAATTTCAGAACTACTTCAGTACACACATTGAGAAACAATATACACCTTAAGGACGTGGGTATCAACTCCCGTCTTCGCTTGACATAACGACGTATCATATTTCCATGCTGTTTGAAGCCGCATTTCAAAGCAAGATACGACATCGCACCATGAACAGGAACGTGATACACGCACAATGTGATACCCTTAGCACGAATTGTTTCCATTCCAGCTCCAATGCTTAGAATGGTCTATCCATTTCTTTGCATTGGAAACAAATGCATATTACAGGATTTGAGGTTTGAACAGAAGTGATTATAAAGAGTTATATCTTCCATTATATAATGCCGTGTAGTCCCTTGAAGGAAAAAGTCGCCTCCATCTTCAGAATATTGTACTTAAGCACCCCGTGGCATAGTATTAATATTGTGACGTGTAGGCCCATCGCTAAGGAAGGAGTTGACAAACACGTTTCCAAGGAGATAGATACTAGGAAACCAGCCCGTTGCTGTGTGATAAACAGACGTGTCCATGTAAACAGGGCACAGGTGATGAAGAGGCGTTTCCGTGGATACCGAATACCTCCGCCGTAGACCTGAGAGTCATAGGAGGCTTCGAAGAGGGAACCCAGTGCCTGGGGGTATAACTGGACCACGATGTTCCTGGCGGATAAATATACGGAGACCTGGACCTCCAGGTTGTGAGACCCGCGGGACTGGGAACTGAGAATGAATGAATCGAACCCGGAACCTCTGGATCTGTAGCCGGGAACTCTGACCACTAGACCACAGAGGGTGCCAACCTGATTACTGCACAATAGATAAAGGTGCATTTGTCTTTCCACCTAATTGATTAAACTCGACCCCATGAAGACGGGTCGGAGAGTCGAGGTATACCTGCACCATTCTTGACCCTGATACCAGATGGAGATGAGAGGTTAACTACTTCACCACCTGGTTGCTTAACCCACGGGAAAGAGCCCCCAGTACCCCATTAGACAGATGAACCATTCACTTCAAGCGAGGAACTTAAATCTTAAAATGTACAAATCCGTGAAACCCACTCGAAATATAACATTTACACAACTGCATAATTATGTTGCCTGCGAGGTGTAATTTAGAAACGATCTAAAACCATGAATTAACCTGTTATTTCTTTTTATATTGTTTGCTTTAGAAATAGGCTATCGTTCATGGTTACTTATAAGAAATAAAAGGTCATTCTTTTCCACATTATCCGTCAACACATCAAAAAAATTGTTTTACAATCAATCAATATCTCATATATTGAATTTTTATTGCTTACCGCTACACGTTTCGGTCCTCGTGCGGCCATCATCAGGCAGTGTATATATAATATGACAAGCTTAATTGAATTCTCAATATGGATCCATATTGTGGTGCAATGCTTCCATATTATAAAAGTTGAAGTTGTTCCCTGTGTTATGAAAAGATTTACGATATTAAAAATATTAAAATATCAAGAAGTATGCAAGAAATTTCATTTAAAATTTTGGTGGATAATGTTATTTCGGCCGGTCACGATAGCCGAGCGGTCTAAGGCATGTACTGTCTTCGCTCGCTTGGAAACCGGGGTCGTGAGTTCGAATTCCACTCAGGGCATGGATGTTTAGTTTGTGTGTGTGTATGTTTTTCTGTGTTTGTGTACAGGTAGAGGCCTTGAAACAAGCTGATCACCCGCCCAAGGAGTACTACCGAATGTGTAAGATCTAGAAAAACCGAAGTTAACGGAAAAGTTCATGGAGGTAGGCCTAGGCCCACTGGGGCTGTAGTGCCAAGGAAAAAAAATGTTATATCGAAGGTAATTAATATGTTAAAAGATACTGTATCTATTTTAGTTCGTAAGTAAGCCACTCAACTCCAACTAGTGCCGAGGTCAAGAAAATATGCCTCTATAAATCCACTCCCCCGTACGCCTTCATGCCGCTGTGTTCAATTAGATAAACGCAGGGACAAGTTTACCTTTACCTTTTTACAATACTTCTTTACAGACGAGCGTTGCGCTGTGTAGAATTGACCGAAATCGAAAGCGAAACTGTGACAATTCAAGTAGCTATTCCGAAATACATCTGCAGACTACAAGAATGAAATTCTATTGAGAGACCAACAAAGGTTAACCCTTGTGCAGAAAAGTACAAAGATATGTGCCTCATGTAAAAAGTTCATGATTTATAAAGCTCAATATGGCAAAGGAACCGAGATGACATCACAAACTTTCTGGATTGTCGCTCGATCTTGGGTAATAGAGAATTTTCCCCATTTCAAACCGCGAATCTGAATGGCTCTTGGCCGTGCATGGACGGTTGGCAAGAGGGAAAGTACCGTCACAAAAGAAAATATTTTCCTTCCACCATCGCTTCTGTTGTGAGAAAATACCAACCTAACGACGAAATATGTTATTATATTTACTCAAAATATTTGTAAACAGCGAATTCAAATGTAGGTTATTAAGAGTCCTTTCTTCTGGGATCCAAGATGCTGCACCTAAGATCACCTTCCAAAATAACACAAGGAATGTTCCAATTGAAATTAAAGAACTCATAGCTGAGAAAAGAAGAGCAAGAGCAAGGTGGCATAGAAGCCAAGCACCAATAAATAAAACAACATATAGCCATATAAGTAATAGGCTGAAGTGTAAAATTAAAGAGGCAAGAGAATGATCCTTCACTAACTATATAACCAGCCTCAACAGATATGACAGTACCATCTGGAAACCCA